TGATAGATCTTTGACAAAAGTGCCAAAAATACACACAATGGATGGACAGTATCTTCAATAAAAAATGTTGGGGGAAATGGACAACCACATCACAAGAGTGAAAACCACTTCCTAATCTCACACTGTATATAAAAATATCAACTCAAAATGGGTAAGACTTAAATATAAGACCTGAAATTCTAAAGTTACTAGAACAAAATGGGGGTGAGGTAGAGTTCCACCATATTGGCCTGCATCATAGTTTCTTAAATAGACCTCCATAAGCACAGGCAAACAAAAGCAGACACAGACAAATGGGACTATATCTAACTTTTTTAAAAAGCTTCTGTGCAGAAATACAACTCAAGAGCAAAACACAAACAAATAAACAAACAAACAAAACCAAAAACAACCCAAAAAAACCTGATTTTAAGAATGGGTAAAATGTGGGACCAGGGCCGGCAGGTGGCATGGTGGTTAAGGTGCTAAACTCACACATGACCGACCATGGTTCAAGTCCCAGACCTGAAGGCTTACTTTATCACTTTCCCGTGTAGGAAAGATAAACTTTCTACTTAGTCAAGAATTCTCTCATAACACTCAATGAAGTTTTACAGTTTTCTTACTATGAACTCTATGGATTTCATTTTTGACGATTACTAGGTATTTCACATTTTTGTTAATACATTTGAAGGTATCATATGTATTTCCAACTAGCTGTTGCTAGTATACCAGAAAAGTGTTTACTTTCTAACTTTTAAAATGCACATGTCTTTAATATAAATATAAATAATTTTATATAAATAATATATATATATATATAAGAACATAAAAAAGCAGAGAAAAAATTGTAACACAGCTATCCTCAATTTCTCATTGGCTCACAGACCTGAATTTTCTTAAATTTTTTTATCAGCCAACACTAATATATTCAAGTAGAACAAATGCTATTACATTTAAGGTAAAAGACTTGTCCATAGGAAGATAAAAAGAAGTCAAAATTATCAATTCTCTGTTACTGAAGTTCAATTCAGTTATACCTTTCTAACTGTGGAGTAATATGTTGAAATCCAAGATGTTATCTCAATATTCAGATGACGCATTGTTCACCAATGCATCATATGAGGCAATCAAAAACTTTTAAGTCTATGCCATCATAAAGCAAGAATCTAAAAATAAAAATGTACTAAAAAAATACAATGTTAATGAAAAATTATCATAGTTAAAAATACAAAATAATAACCTTCAAAGAGTTTAAGTTTTTCCTAAATAATGAACATAATTTTAAAATATTACAGTTACCTATATATTACATGTGGAAAACTGACTTTTAGTGTGTAAAAAATCCACCAAAGTCCAACTGAATGAATGTTTTAACCTTCAGTATTCATGGTTTGTCTTAAGGAGTATAAAGGCAAGGTAATTCATGAAAATTACTTCTTTTTCTTCTCTTTCTGGAACCCATAAGAACTCTATAAAATTAGGGACCAGCGGGACTAGCAGTTGGTGTGGTGGCTATGTCACTGGACTCCCATGTAGTCGACCGCAGTTTGAGTCCTGCACCCAGTGGCTTAAACTCACACCAGGTGTGCGTGCATGCGTACCCAAGATCCTGAGAAGAGAATGGAGGAGAGGGGATTGCAGCGTAGCCATCCGCCTGGGGAGTGATTTCTCACTTTCTCTCTCTTGCGAGTGCACGCACCCTAAAGCAAAAATCTCTCAAAAAAAAAAAAAATTCTATAAAACTTCTGTCTTTAATTGTGCCTTCCCTTAACATTTTTACTATTTAAGGATCAAACAGCAATGAATTAAGAGAGAATGACACTCAATGCTAATGAAATTATAGTATCAAATGATACTTAAAATTGAGAATGATTAATTATACTTCAATGCAAAAGAGTAAAAATTTCACACCAATTGGTCAGAAACAAAACAAGATGTTTGTTTTCATCACTTCTATTAAATATTGTAATGTAGTCTAGTCAGGAAAATTAGACAAAAAGAGAAATGAAAGATATACAAATTGGAAAGGAAGAAATAAAATGATCACTATTTGTAGATGATAAGATTTGTATACAGAAATGTAATGGAATCTACACAAAAAGACTATTAAAACTAATACATGAGTTCAGTAAGATTATAGGATAAAAGTGCAGTTACTCATGTGGGATCTAGCCACCTTAATCACAAAGCTACCTGTTGGCCTGGCAATAAAAAATGAATTACTGATACACACTACAACATGGATGAACCTTCAAAAACATGACAAGTAAAAAGAACAAGACACAAAAGGCCACAATTAGATATGATTCTATTTATAGGAAACATCTAAAATAAACAAATTAAAAGTGATTACAAGTAGATTAAAGACTACCAGCGGCTAGACACAGGGCAGAATGGAGACTGACTGGTGAAAGGTACAGGGTTTCTTAATTAGGTAATGAAGATGTTCTGAATTAGAATACGGTGATGATGGCACAATGATGTAAATAAACGAAAAGCCACTGAATTTAAACAGTGAATTTTGTGGTATCCGAATACCTCAACATAAAAATTTTCTATGGTAAAAAGGTATAAAATGTGAGTAGTGACAAATGCAAATTAAAACAATCTTAAACATTTTATTAACAAAAGATCAAAATGTTTTTAACACATTGTGCTGGTGATGCTATAGTGTAAAAATGCATCAATATACTTTTTTGTTGAAGTATACATGGGTAAAACTGTAAAGTACAATTTAGCAATAATGATTGAATCTAAAAACTAACACACTTTCTAAGCAATTCTAGTTACATAAGTATATTCTGATTACGTACTTGTATATAAACACAAAAATAGTCACTAGGCTATTGATTTTAATGGGAAAAATTTGGAAACAGATATGCTTGGATATGCATGATGTTTACAGAAGCATATATATATATATATATATGTATGTATATATATAAAATTACCAACACTTTTTTGGTTTAGCCAAGGGTAACTGGAAGATTGGGAGCTGAGGCGGCAGGAAGATTTACTTTTTCTGAGTATCCTTTTGGATCTTATGAGCTTTGTACAATGTGTAAGTATTATCTTTGTACAATGTGTAAGCATTATCTTTTTATTTAAAATGAGCAGAGGGCATCTATGCTCATCAGAGAAGTTTAGAGAGAAAGAACAGAGAGAGAAAATAGGAGGGAGGGGGAGAGAGAGAGAGAGAGAGAGAGAGAGTGCGCGCACACACACACCCTTAATGGGACATTTTCACATCACTATCCCTTCTCCATTCTTCCTCCCTGTCAGAATTTGGACCACGCACGTGCATGTGCCCAGCGTGTTCTTTGAGCTGACAGGCCAGGGACTAGAATAACAGTTAGTTGTGTGAAATTAAGTTCCCTTAGGCCACAGTAGTAGCCCTACCTTTTCAATTAATTACTTAATTTTGGGAAGTGTTTCAGCTCAAAGTTTTTAAAATAAAACATTTAATCACTTACTCCGTCCTCAAGCAAAACATGTCAACAAAGAGAACAAGAAAGGGGAAAAAAAGTGAAGAGAACACTAACAAAAGACAAAAATTCTGCTTAAGTATTTTATTAGGTTATTGAGAAAGTTATGATGTGTTTTTCTATGCAAAAATCCATCATGACTTTCTCAACGGGTATCCCAATGACTCAATGTATCAGTGTGAAAGATAGATGAAATGAAATGAAGACTCTGAAAAAAAGTATGGTTCTGCTTTATTTGGTCTTAAGTCATTATTTGAAGTTTTCCAAAATCTAATTTATATTACAATATAAAGTTAAACAAAATATCTTAAAGTATAGACTGAAAATCACCTACAGTTAAAAAATGGGAAAGAAATTATTTTTACAGTCTGTAAAATCATGCACCATTTGATTAAAAAAATAACACATGAGAGTACTATATCTCAATACATGGGCACTAATTTTACATCTACAAATATATTTTTATTTGGAGTGAAAAAAAATTAAGATCACATTCTGCTATTATATCTATAGGTCTTTAA